TGACGTGGGATCGTGTTGACGACGTGATGATCGTGTGGGCGTTTATCACGTAGGCGCAGTGGTGAGGGCAATGGGTAGGTGGTGGTGGACACAGAGTGGAGAGGTGATCATGTTGCGTTGGTCTTGAAGGTCTAAGCACCCTGTTGTCGGTATACCAGGTAGGGCAGGAAAAAGAGGTGAAGTGATCCCAGCCGTGGCGTGAGCCTATGGGCCGTCCTGAAGAGTGTAGAGACGGGGTGACGAGAGTGGATGGGAAGTCTGTGGACGAGGAGAGCGAAAGCGGAAGGGACGGCGTCCAGAGAGCTAGAGGAGATACGGGTGCAGAACAAGAAGGGAAAGGAAACTGCGGTGCGGCTGCCTCGCGGACAGAAACGAGGAGACGGTCCGGAAAGGAGCGTGACAGATGAGCAGCAGAGGCGACACGTTACAAGGGAGTGCAGTCACAGGACAGAACATAGGCCAGACACCATGCGCGTTAAGGAGACCACCACAACGAACACCCAGCCAAAAAGCAGGCTGCGATTATGAGTAGCCAGTCCTCCGCGCGCCGAGTCTCTGATTGTTCTCCAACACGATGCATTATGCATGCCCCCCCCCACCCCGCCCGCTGTCCCCGTTCTCGGAGAGGGGCTTCCGTGACCGGCTCCCTTAGGCCGCCCTCACGCTCCAACGCATGGATATTTAAGATAGGCCATGCTAATCACCAGAATTTAACTGTAGCAGTCTCTCTCGTTTGGTTTACCATCCTACTACAGTGCTTGTTGGCTGCACCCCAGAACTCTTCTGAGGCGACTGTAAACACTACGAAATGTCAGTAGAAATAGCAAGCTTTAGGCATTTCCCACACTGACTGTGACTTCCTCACTTCTCCCACTGAATTTGATTATAGGGAGTTCAAGGTTTTCATGTAACTGCAACATTCTTAAAGGGATATTCTATATTTAAGAGATTAAAGAAGTATGAAAAACGGTAGCAAACGAAAGTAGGTAACACATTTGAGAGAATTTTTGCTTATTTGCACTGTTGCGAGGACGTGAAAAATTTATTTTAACAATATTTTGCCTAAAATTCTACGTTTTTGAAAAAACAAAAACAATGAAAATTGCATATCACTTTAGCAGTAGCGTCGTTATCTGAGTCGTAGATCTTGGGACAGTTCCAAGGTATATCACACCAGACACAACAATCTTCCAGCTGTCTGTAAATATTAATATCTCGATTTCGTTCGAAGTGTACCTCGTCTTGTTACTATCCCAAACTTAAGCGGAAGGCTTACCTTGTCACTACCCCAAACCCTTGTATTTTTAGGGCACGCTAAGAGCATGGAAATATCACTCTCATACAAGTGATGCAGTTATAAGTATAAATGTTCTAATTAGAAAAAGAACTACATCAATCTGGTTGATGTTCGAGTTTTGGAATCTTTCGATTGGTTTCATTTTCTTTTCACATCGTTCTGATCGTTCTTTACTTTCGATTTCCCTGTGGAACATTCTGCAAGGAGGCAATTATGGAAAATTCCCCATTTTGTAATTAAAAAGCAAAGGTCCTCCGAAGAAAACTGCAATGGAGCGAAATACCTTGTTACCTAATTTCACGCTCGAATGCTATTTCCAATCGAATTTTGACGCGTCAAAAGACTGTGACTGAGATGGCGTCGTCCTATCGACAAAAGCATTGCGCGACGTCCCTTTAGGCGAGACAAAAGACGAGCAACAGAGAGCGACATCGAGGGGACTGTTGATGACTAAAAGAGAAAACACAAGAAAGCTAGAATCTTGGAGACAAAATGAATGAGATATTAAAAGAGTCATCTCAAAATAGGGTTAGGCGGAAGAGCAGGCCCTATGGCCTGAGCCTCGCCATTAATAAAGAAATTATTATTATTATTATTATTATTATTATTATTATTATTATTATTATTATTATTATTATTACTATTACTATTAAAATAAGAATGAGTGTACGAAGTGTACGCAAATATAAATCCAGGAGATCAGGATCGAGAATAAAAGAGTAAACAGAATACTTTTCAAACATTGAATGCGAGGAACTTGCAATGAACACCACCCTTACAGCGAAAAAATCTAAACGTTGTACTACAAATTCAAACACGGGCAAAAGGGGTCATGACGGTTGAAATCTACAAATCCTGGAAGGTGAACACTGAAGGTTCAATGCATGAAACAGAAAAAAATATTCAAAAGGCCGAAGTGAATAAAAACGAGATGACATATTTTGATAAAGAAAATTGCACTGTAACACACGGTAAATTAAATTGATTTGTTAAGAGATTTATTCAGTTGAATACGGCTGACATTACTTAAGATCTTTCACAAAAATCTCATTAATCAAATAAATGTTCTTATAGATTTATTTCTTAAAATATAATTTATCATTGTCGAACATGTCACGAAAACATCTCTAGCATCACATAACAAACCTCTACTCACAAAGAATCATCCGACAGAAATAGACTGGGAAGAGAGTGAGAGAGGGAGAGGGATGGGGAGAGAGGCAGGGAGGGAGAGAGAGGCAGGGAGGGAGAGAGAGGCAGGGAGGGAGAGAGAGGCAGGGAGGG